ACTCGGTTTGATAATCCAAAATGTAATATTTATCATGAACCTATTCGCAAAGCAGTAAAGATGAAAAGAATACCAATATAAAAACAACACGAAGGCAACGAAAGTTTGAGAAAATGTCGGGCAAACGAGCCTTGGTGGTGAATTTTCAGTATGTGACGTAATCGCACATAAGGCCACATACACTTGTATTCACGCGCTTCCTTCTTGCTGAGAAAATGTGAACCTCAGCCAAGCAACGATAACTGACTAGGACCACTATCCATGATCAATCAACATGGCCGCGCACGCTTTTGCAGGACAACCTTTGTCGTAACAGCTACATACAAGCAATTTACTGTTGTTGTCCTACAGTCCGTTTTGATAAGTTAGTTACAGGGGACTCACATTTGAAAGGGCAGAATGAAGAACTGAGGGGATGAGCTCTTCGTCACGCCTAGGGTTTTAAATCGTAGAGTTTGGTCTCACTTTTTAGGCCCGGACACCAATGTACATACATATCAATTGCAAGGCGTCATTTAGGGTTTTATGCCAAGAAATGAAAAAAAAAAGATATCATGACCTGCTGCTAATAAATCTGGTATGGACTCTGTACATTTCTTCACTGATGAAAACAAAATGTTGACACTGTCTTCACCGTCATTAAAGTCCCTATAGCTCTATCTTATCGGTGTTTCTGTTTCAGAACAGTATTTTTAGCATGTCACTGACCGATATGGCTACATGGTCACTTGGCCGAATTTGTGAACGATAAGTACCTTATCATACCTTTGTTTTGGTACGCTTCGGCAGCATATCAGGCTCGTTTGGTCTCACCATGGGTATTCTGGCTCGTCTACGTCTCACCAAAATACGAACCATGGCTCGACCAATCCCCCCTGATATACCGCCGAAGCGTACCAGAAAGGTACCATTGGGTACAAAATAGTAGGACTGTTTCCGAACTTTCATGATACTGTTAAGAAGTCGCATCTCTTCACTCTCTACGCTTTGTATTTCAACTCATATTAAAACATATTTACAGCTTCACAACTTTACAGCAAGCATACGTTCTGATATTCCTTCGTGGCTGAAATTATGTTACTGATAGTGAAAAATGTTTCTCACAAATAAATTACACGAAGCAAAATTTTCGCTACTACGTCGATCTATTTCTTCGCCAATTTATTTCAAGTCCATATTAACGATTTTCCTACTCCAACTCGATCTTTTACTATTAGTCTGTAAACTGAACATTTGTCCTACAATGGACAAGTCTTCAACTTCTTTAGTTAAAAAAACGAGCAGGTCTGTGTAGGACAACACGGTCAGGTAGTGCCTGTGCGACAGATTTCAAATCTTCCTCAGAACAAGATCCCTCAAGCCAAAGAAACTCTAACCTTGGCAAGTTGATGACGTGTGACACGATAGATGTTACTGCGTGACCGAGAGGATTACGTGACAAGTTCAGTGTAGTCAGTTTAGGAAGGAATTCAAAGTTTCCCAGCAAACCACTCAAGTCACACTCATCCATGTTCAGGTTTGAAAGCTCTAAGGTTCCTAAATTGGGAAAGGAAGAAAAACGTCTGGTTAGTGGAGCAAGACAACCCGTGATGCTAAAACCATTGAAATGAAGCCTCGTCAATGGCGATGTTTCGTTAAATCCGTCAAACAACCGCTCCATTTGTTCGGCTGCTACAACACTTCCATCCACCCCAGTTAACTCAAGCACTGTCAAGGACGACATTTTAGGAAGTGATCGACCGAGCATCGCGGCAACTGTTGGTGTCAGGTTTATTCCCTTCAGTGTCAGTTCGCTGAGAGTCTTGTGTGTAAAACTGAACACCGTGTTCACTTCCGTAGAGCTAAAATCTGCAGGACACCGTCGTTTGCCCTCCACGCACAGTCTAGAGAGATTAGGAATGAACCTTACACTCTCCATCAAACCGAACAAGTGCTGTTCATCCATATTGAACTTTCCAAGACGCAGATCATATAAATTGGGAAGGAAGCGGTGGCTGTTCGGGAGCAATGGCACTGTTTTGTTTAATCCACCAAACAGCGCCTTCATTTCCTCTGATTGCAGCATCTTTCTATCCATTCCACTTAATTCGAGTCTTATTAAGGACGGCATATCAGCAAGTGACCGACCGAGTACCGCGGCTGCCGTTGGATTCAGACATATACCACTCAGTACCAGTTCCTCAAGAGTCTCGTGTGTAAAAGAACGGCTGACTGTGTTTAATTGTGCTCCACAGGAATGTTCGTAATTCAGACACAGATCAGATAAATTGGGAAAGAAGCGGTGGCTACTCGGGGGCAATGGCACTGTTTTGTTTAATCCACCAAACAGCGCCTTCATTTCCTCTGCTTGCAGCATCTTTTTATCCATTCCACTTAATTTGAGTTTTCTTAAGGAGGACATATCAGCAAGTGACCGACCGAGCGCCGCGGCTGCCGTTGGATTCAGACTTACACCACTCAGTACCAGTTCCTCAAGACTCTCATGTGCAAAAGAACGGCTGACTGTGCTTAATTGTGCGCTACAGGAATGTTTGTACCTCAGACGTTTGCCCTGTACGTCCAATACTCTCAGACTGGGAATGAAACTCAAGCTCTCCAGCAAGCCAAACAGGTTATGTTCATCCATACTAAATTTTCCAACATACAACTTTTTCAAATTGGGGAAGAAGAGGAAGCTTTTGACGAGCGCAGGAAGACAACCTTTCACGCTGAAACCGCTGAACGCAAGCGTCTCCATAGGCAATGTTTTATAAAATCCGTCAAACAGTGCCTCCATTTCCTTACTTTGTACAATTCTTCCGTTCACCCCAATTACTTCGAAACTTTCCAAGGATGACATTTCAGGAAGTGACCGGCCAAGCGTCGTGGCTGCTGCTGGAGTCAGGATTATTCCACTCAGTCTCAGTATCTTGAGAGACTTGCGAGAGATATTGGTAATCAGCGCATCTACTTCTGTATCAACAAGGCTAAGGTTAAGAACACTGACGTTGTTAAATCGTGGTAACAAACTGGCAAGCCTCTCTGCTCCAGCTGATGTCAGGCGAACTGCACGAAAATATTTCAGACGGCTGTTGGCGGGTGCAGTGAAAGAGCCAAGCTTCAATGAGCACTTGTTGGGGTTTGGTACTTGTTCCAGAAGATGACAGACGGAGTCTTCGTTGTCTCGAATAACGATGCAATTCCCACGTGTCAATTCTTTGGTGGCTGCAACGTCGATGCAATTCAGATGTCTACAGTTTCTTACGGCTGTACCAAGACCTTTCATAGTTTCGGCACGTACTTTGAGCCGCCATTGTAGAGATCTTGTAAATTTAAGACAAGAATCTTTTAAACTCAAATTTGCGGCGACAGATGGAACAGAAATGTCACTAGTTTCCGTAAATAATCTGGCATGGTCATCACAGTTCAGAAACAAATTTGTTATGTAAAACTGAAGCTCACCATTACGGAAACGGAGGATGAAATGAAATGAGCACCTGCTGTCCCAGTTAGCCCCGCGTTCACTTATACTCTGAAAATCTTCAAGAAAGTCGCTAACTTTGTGAACTTCAGTATTTTCAGTTATTCTTAGGGACCCATGGATGCAGTTAAGAAACTGCTCCAGCGACTTGCTCGGGATCGAGAGTTCATCATGGGGATGAAAACGAAAAGCAAAAGTACGAGAATGTGCTAATGTAGATACGTTTTTAACATTTGGCATAAATTGAGAAAGTAGTACTTCGTTGGGAACAGGAACGATCCCACCAAAGCAATCCAAAAAACCACTCAACAGTTCAGTTTTTGATTTAACCTCTCGAAAGCAATTGAAAGCGAGGTCACTGAACCGCCAGTGCTCCTTAGTGAGGTCATATGGAGGTACATCTGTTTTGTTGTCTGCATCAGGTATTGTCATTGATAAATCCCGTGTTCTAACTGACGAAAAGTGCTCAAAAACCTTCTCTGCTCCTTTGTCGGACAACCCACAAACAAACTGAAAAACATTCTCTAAGGCCTCACAATCCTTCACAGTACATGCGTGCAGCTCAATTCCACCGAGATTTCCTTCAGGAACACATCTGTAGGTTACGAACCACGCCGCCAAGTATTCCTGAATACTCTTATGGATAAAAGACACCATCTCCTTTGGTTCTACACTTGGTCCAAACTCAGAAACTTGAAGAAGACCAACAATGATACTCACTTCACCACGAACTTTCTCAGAAAGTTGACCACACTTGAACAACAGATCACCTCGAAGAAGACCTTCCAACGCAACCTTTCCCATTTCAGTAAGAATTTCGTTGTCATCGGTTACTTTCAGCTTAGAGCCATTAGACGGAGAATGCCTTTTGCGGCTGTGCTGTAAAATGTGTTCTAAAATTGCTTGAAACAATTCAGTTTTTCTTTTCAATCCTTCTTCCAACTTTTCCTTTTCGTCCTTCCACAGCAAGCAAAAAAAGAGATTCAGTAACGGCACTCTTGCTAGGTCTTCCATATCACTCACGAGTAAGAACTGGTATAGACTATCCCCCTCAGTTTCGCTATCCAGAAACTTTATCATAAAGGCCTTTCTATCACACCAATTAAACCCAGTGATCTCGGCATGTATGTCAGCACGTTCATGCAGCTCATCAGCACGTGAAGGTCGAGTGGTTACCAGGACAGTACAGTCTCTCATAATATTCCCGTGGAATATTTTGTAGATTGGAGAGGTGCTTCTACTGCCATACTTTTCTTCTGCTTCGCTGCCTGTGCGGTACTCGTCATAGCCATCAAACACAAGCAGAACTTTGTCTTGGTTCTCACCAATGTAACTGAGAAGATCGTCAACTGAAGATGTTTCATCGTCTGGAAACACACGAGACTGACTTAAGACTTCTTTAAACGTCTGGCACTTGGATACTTCTTTGAGATTAACAGAAAAAACGACGTCAAACTTCCTCAGTGCATCTTTCCGTTCTTCATCCATCTTCGCCTCTCCAAGATTCGACCAATCTACAAGCAGCTTCTTAACGAAAGTCGTTTTTCCAATTCCAGTCTCTCCTTGCACGAGAATTCTCTTTGCTACAACTCCGTTCTTCTTCTTCTCGGTGAAAATTTCAGTGTAATGACTCAGCTCCCTTTGTGATGACCCAGCTGTGGTTTGTTCCTGTTTCACCCAGGACAATGGAGTGTAGATCTGTTCAAGGTCCACCTGAAATTTTGAGGACCACACTGTGTTGGGCACCTTGGCTGTTTTTTGATAATGCTCTGCAAGTTTCTTCTGACAGGTTCTGACATCAAAAGTATCCAGAGGAGAGGCCTCTGAAGAGAGAAAACATAACAGCGAAATGAGATAGAAACGGAAAACAATTACTACATTAAAAACAAAATTATAGTGTTTGATTCAGGCACAGTTTATTGTTAGAAGTGGCGTTCCTTAAAACTCCAGCTTCTAAGTAAATGATTTCCCCAAATATTTGTGTTCCAGTTTGCGCGATGAGGTGAGTAAAAGAGGATAACGAATAGAAGCAGTCTTACTTAGCGTTTTCGAAACAAGAGAAAAGCCCGATAA